AGAAAAGATTGGAGCTACTTGAGTACTATTTGGACTGGCTGCAGAACTACTCTGATCAAATGATTCAGTAGTGGTAACGTTATTTGCTGAGGACTGAGTAAGATTCTTTCTTCTGGTAAATTTAAAATCAGCATGATAGCCAAGTAGTCTATAACAATTATCCTTTTTGTGTCCCTTCACATGACAATGTTCACAAGTTATATTCCAATTCTTTTTAGGCTTAACTGATTGTTGGTTTGATGATGAATAAAGTACTGTCGGCTTAGATGAGGATTCAACAATAGCAGCAATGGTTAAATTTCTCTGACTTTCTTCAGTAATGAGCATAGAATAGGCTTGGTTAATTTATGGTAAAGGTTGCATCATGAGAATTTGGCTTTTAGCATGCAAGTAAGATTCATCTAATCCCATCAAGAATTGGAGTAACTTTGGATTCTGCATGTGATCTACATAAACCTTTGACATAGAACACTCACATGAAGGAAGTTGGACAATAGACGAATATTCATCCCATAACATTTTCAGTTTAGAGAAATAAGTGGAAATAGATGAAGTTCCTTGCACTAAGGTGACAATTTCTCTATGCAACTGGAAAACTCTAGATCCATTCACTTTATCAAATCTTTCTTTTAAATCTTTCCATACCAAATGTGCACTTGAAGCATAAACGATGCCACTTAAAAGTTCTTTAGTAACTGAATTCATGATCCAGGAAAGAACTATAGCATTACACCTATCCCACTGATTGTGCAAGCTAATTGGAAAACTATCCTTTGTGCAAGTTCCTTCAATAAATCCAATCTTATTTTTGGCTAATAGTGATATTCTCATAGATCTACTCCATAACGAGTAATTATCTACACCAATAAATTGAAAAGAAACAAGAACAGCACTTGGTGGAGTATCAGAAGGATGTAAGTAAAGTTGATGACTAAAATCGATTGATGAACTTGATTGATCATTTGCATTATTCGTAGAAGACTGCATTTCTCCATCTGCACTAGTAGCTGCCATTTTGGAAGAAGGAAGATGATAACTTCTTGATCAAAGAAAATGAGATCAGAAAAGAATCTTCTAGTAAACGAAATCCAGAAGAGAAGAAGCTGAAGAAACAAAAAAACAGTGTAGAAGAAACTGATGAACAGTTTGAAAAATTATTGATGAACAGAGTGAAGTTTTCTGCAAATTTTCAGAATCTTCAAGCCTTGAAATCGTAGCTCTGATACCATGTTAATTTGGGGGCAAGTAAAGTGAAAAGAAAGAATTCTCTATATCGATTGAATAGTCTGTTACATTGCTGTACATACAAAAAATAAACTTATAACTGTCAACTAACTACTTCAACTAATTACAGCTCAACATAACAGATTCCTAACTAACTAAGCTACCTCCCGTATACCAACTTGAATCTTAACATAAAGCATGATATTTCCCTTTCTGGTGATTTATGATTCAATTGGTTTAAAGAACTCTCTTTGGATTGTTTTGTCTATGATTTGGTATAAATTCATGAAAACAAAACTGAAATGTGGAGATTGATTGCAACAATTTAGGTGCGTAGAGCATATATGTTGTTCTTAAACCCAATTTGTTATAGATGTGATTTTGGGTATGGAAGTTTACACTGTGAAGCCTGACCATTTGGACTTTCGAAAAATTTATCTAAACTCTGGGTTTTCGGTTGGAGCTCAAATCCGAATATGTTGTTTTAGACTTCTTGAGGAGTGTTTGAAAAATTATTTCACTCAAAAATTCGAATTATTGGATTTTTTTATAGATTTTTGAAGTCTGCCTTGAAAATTCTGGAATTTTTGTTTTCTGCAGAACATGTAATTTTGGAAAATGATTTGATGCATCTATTCTTATCCAAATTGAGTGATTTTAAATTATGTGAATCCTATATGCGTCTAGTTTAATTGGAGAGTTTCATGAGGTTTAGATTAAGGGCTGAATTGTTATGAATTTTACAAATCAGTAACCTCAATTCTAGAAATAGTTGGCAGATTTGAATGAGTTGAAAGAAATTTTTTTTTTTTAAATAGTTATTTATTCTAGAATGACTTGAGAAAATTATGGGAACAACTTATGTGTCTCTTGAATTCCCCATTAAAATTATAGGTTAAATTGATAAATGGAATTTTTATGAAAAATCCGAGAGCGACTGATGTTCAGTTATGAGACAGTTTTGTTAAAGAAGAAGTTAGGTTAATCTTTTGGTGTAGGAAGTGTCCAATGATTTTAATATTGACATGTTACCTTAGAGGGACTTATGTATGAAGGATTTATTGGATTTTGTATATGGGGAGGCAAGCGGGGGCATTGTTAGAGGATTTCAATCTTTTTCAGCTTAAGGGTTGAGCTCCAAAATGTGAGTGGAAAAATCTAAACGCTTAACTTTCATTTTAACAAAGTTATCTCTAAATGCTTATTTATACTTGTTTATTGTTTTAAATTGCCTACTATGTTTGATTTCTTTATATAAATGAGCTTTATTGCAATGTTATTGTTGGAAATTGTCGATTGACATAAGAAAGATGGAATTTTGATGTTTTTGGACAATAGTTTGAAAAGAAACGAAAATGGGTTGAAATTGTTAGATTTAAAAACATTTGAGAACTTGCATTTATATTTTTACTTTACATGAGATGTTATGAAATTATTATATTTTATGAGAAAAATGTTTTGAGAATATGTATGAGATGTTAGTGGTTTTCAAACCACCCTATGCAGTACCCATCTCCCTTATGATATTGATTTGATTCTACGTATGCATATGATTGATGATTTGTTGGCCGAAGTGGGTCGAAGGCTCGAGCGAGGCAGATATCACTACACAGGTTTTGATTTGCTAGCTCAAGTGGGTCGAAGGCCCGAGCGAGGCAGATATCGCTACAGAAGATATGATTGTGCTGACCCGAGTGATGCATGGTCTCGCTGGGTCGAAGGCTTGAGCGGTGACTGATTCCGCCTAGTAGGATGGATTTAGTAATTCAACCCAAGCGATTTTAGATCTTGCTAGGTTGGACGGATTTACCCCTAGGTACTAGTTGGGTAAGAGTTCTCACATGTAACTGAGAAATAGTTTGGATATATAAATGTATGTCATTTTTTTTTAAAAGGAAATTTATAAATGCAAATGTTATATATATATGAATGTTCTTAAAAATGATATTTTTAGAGAAGCATGAGTATATTTTTGTTTACCATAAAAGTTTTAAGGAAGAAGTTTTGCAATAAGAGATTCAGCATTGGTTATGAAAGATGGTTTATATTATAAAAGGTGTTTATGGAAATGAGATTCTACAAGGATGAATGTCTTTTTTTTTTTTTTTTTTTTTTTTTGAAATGTTTTGTTGCATACTAACCCATTCCCTACTCACTGAGCATTTCTAGCTCACCCCTCATTTTCAAATGTTTTTCTTTCCCGAACCCAGTAGGTCAAGAAGGAGATTGTGCAAAGAAGTGGATCCCACTCAAGGTTGGGCCAATTTAATTGTTGTATGATGTCTTGACTGCAGGAAGGGATATGACGAAGTTTACATTTTCACATGACTGCAATCCTGAATTTTCTGTAAAGGTTACAACTGTAACAAACTTGAAAAATGTAATATTCTTGTAGACTGTAAAGGACTGTTTGAAAGACCATTTGTCTTCTCCTTTTGGGATTTCTTTTAAATATGTTGCTACTTAGTTTTATTCCACCACATCAAGTAGAACGTACTACATATTATCAACATCAATTATACAGGAAAATTTTGCAAATAGTTTTATTGTGACACAATCACCTATACGAAAGGCACCATCTTTCCACACGAGTTTGCAAAGGCTATTTCAAGAGAGTTGCCTGCAGGCACAATTGAAATACAAATGCATTTACATTTAAATAATATTTAACTATTGCAATAGCTCCGCTGCTGGTTTTAAACTGCCGGTACATTTTTGTCCTGAGGTTCTTATGGCAGATTTTGTTTCTAAATGTCTTACTAGACCTGCACTTAGATGACTTGAAATTCCAGCCGTCTCTATTTCTAGTTTTAGCTTTGTGCTAAACCACACAAAAAAGGAAACAAACAAGAGTTTGCTGCTCAGAGTGAGCTGAAATGTGGGCGTCTCTCAAGGGTGGCATTTTTCCCTTGGTGATTACGGAGACAGCTTTCAGAGTATCAAGAATCTTCATTCATTGTAACACAGTTATTATTTCAAACAAGGTGTGTAAAATTTTATGAGATCAAGATGGTTGAAACCTGAAATTCATAAGAGAAAGAACAACGGGGGCAGAGGAGTTTGCTCTGATATATTATGCAATATGATGTTGGGCATCAATTGATTTGCTTTTACTTACATAGACAACAATTTCATTAGATCAATACAACAAGTATCCTACTGCTTTAGTTGACTTCATTAAATCCATATATCTTGCTGATGCATTATTTCAAAAGAAAAATAAAATAAAGTACAGCATATTATCAACATTATTCTGACACTGTGCCTAATGCAGACACTAATTTCTTCTTCCATTGTGTTTCTTATGCAACCTTCTCATCTTTTTTTGGTGTTTCCCTTCAAATACAATTGCTAGCCAGAGAGGTTTTCCAGTTGAAAATACAAGATATCCCATAATCATTCCCAAATCCATTCCAGATCCATAATCCATCATTACCGCTTTCCAACCAAATTTTTTTCCACAGTTTGTAGCATTTCCTGATATTGAGGATGGTTGCGGCCGCATCAGCGTCGCATTCAATTGACAGTGGAAGTCTACATAATCTCAAGTTTCCGCTATAAGAATCACTGGAAAAGGTTTCAAATTGACTGTCTTGATAGGTCCTTCAAGTTGGTTATGAGACAGGTATAGGACTGCAAGAAACGTCATTCTTTTCAACTGCCATGGAATTTTCCCATGAAGTCTGTTTGGAAAGAGGTCTAAGGATTCTAGATCTGCGAAATTTCCCAATGACAAAGGGAGTTGCCAGTTAGGAAGTTTGCGAAAGGTTGAGCAGTCAAAGTGATCGAATCTTTCCAACTAAATCAGGAATTCCAAAGCTATTGTTTGAAAAATCAATGGTACTGAAAATAGCGAGAAATTTCACCAGTTTAACCTCGTTCTTTTTTACTAGCAATGTCACTGAATCTTCATAATATGATTCACCCATATACTGCAAATTCCTTTTAGCCTCACCACTAATATCCATCACAGATTTCATGTTCTCAAAATACCTTGCTGGCAGCAAACCACTAAAATTGTTGTTCAAGAGATCAGAGATTCACAACTTAGAGAAAGATTTTTCGCCACTGGATCACCGACTAGACCATGAAATTTATTGGAGCGTGGAACAAGAACTTGTAATGCCGGAAGAGTTCCCAACCACTGCAGCAACGTAACATTTATGTTGTTGTTTCCGAAAACAGAATTTCCAACTACAATTGATCAAAGATGGTGGAATGTCCCTTCCAATCTATTGCCATTGAAGTTGAACGAAATAGAGACAACAACAGGAACAAAATATAATAGTAAAACAAAACAAATAGTAAACAAAGAAAATAATACGCGCGATTTACCTTGGTTCACCCAATGTGGGTTACGTCTAGCTGAGTCAATATTATTGCAATATGTCTCACCTTTCTCGTTTACAATGGATGAATTGCTCTCACACCCATAACAAGAGAAAAGTATATTTATATACTAGGTTTAAGAGATTAAACCTAGTTTTATAAGGATTCTTATTCCTAAGCCCCCAAGTGCGTCTCCGTTACCCAGTAATGCTAAAGTAGTCGACAACTCCAACATTCTCCCACTTGGCGAAAACTTCACACAACAAAGGCCTATCTCATCAACACACCATGTAAACTTTGCTAAGCTCACAGCCTTGGTAAGAAAATCTGCAGCATTAACAAATATACTATTTTGTTAAAAAAATAATTCTTTTAATAACATTAAAATACTTTTAATTGGTCCTAATTCCAATTATACACTTAATTAATCAAAACTTTAGTATTAATATATTATAATATATTACAGTTTTTTATATGGTGTAGTTTATATATAATAAGTATAATTGTATATTTATTTAATTAGGTTATTATAAAAATTTAACTTTTTCCATTTTAATTTTTTTATATGTAAAATTACAGGAGACCCCCCATTCTTCACAAATATTTTATTTCAACCCAGGATCCAAGATAGGATACCCACTGTAGGTTTCAAGTTGGGTACCCGTTGTAGGTTCTTTTTTTCCAGGTTTTGGTTTTGGTTTCGGTTCCTCCACATGTAGGAAACAGAACTAGAACCGGAGCCGCTCAGTATCGTTTCCAAAAAAAGGGAACCGAAATCTACCCGCACAGTGTCAGTTCTGGTTCTACCCGCAAGTTCCAGTTCTACCCGCTACCCGTGCTCACCCCTACCAGGCCATTCGCGGTGGGGCAGGGACCCACTCAAACGCCCATCTCTAAGTACTTATACATTGGGTTATAGCATATTTGGTGGGTTTATTTTTTGTTGTTGCTATGAGTGTGTGAGAGTAAAAAACACAGAACAAATTTCAGTTTCATTCTACTCCAATAAGACTTTATCAAGCACTTTGATGGAAGGTCATTCGTTGTTAGATTGAGCGTGTGCGTGTGTTTCAATTTTCTTTATTTACATGATTTTTATTCCAACTTTCTTACATTTGATTTGTGTTTATGTGTTCAAATTTGTTTTCAATTATATTATTTCTTTAAATTATCATAGTTAATTATATACAATTGTTTTTATTTTATCTTGTATTAAATATATATTAATTATCAAGGTAATGAAAATTATATCATTTATTGCTTAGCATATAGCTCTATTTATTTTTATCAAAAGTTCTCTTATAATATTAAGTTTCATCTAAAATATTTAAATTCAACATATACAATTTTTGTCAATACATCCAGCGATCTGGTAATTCTCTAGGTAAAAGATTATCTTCAAGTTTGAGAAACACCATTTTCTTTGACTTGTTTCTTTCATGACACAAAAAAAAAAAAGAAAAATAAAATCTCAAAAGCATTGTTGGACAGGTCTAGAAAAGTTGTGTTAAAGGATATAAGAGGTAATGAACCTGACAATTTATTTGAACTCAAGTCAACAATAGTGGATCGATCAGCCTGGGTTAAATTTGGAATCTCTCCATTGATTTGGTTATGAGAGAGATTTATATTTGAAAATGAGTAGTCCAAAACCAAACTATGAGTGTATCAACAGTTACTTGAGTTGGATATGTCCAAAGTAATTAGATGTTTTTGTGAATGAGGCCGTGAAGGAAATAAAGGCCTTAAATGACAATATGATAATTTAACTCCACTAAAGAAAGGAGTGAGTTTATCACCCACAGCCAATCAGAGACTTCTTGATATCCATAAAGCTCAAATCAAGGTATTTCAGCAAAGAAAGACCAGACAGCCAACCCAAATTCTCAGCCAGTATATTTGAATTATTACCAAGGTCAAGATATTGCAGATTGGAGAGAATATTTCCAATGTTGTGAGGAACATTTCCCCCATATCCAGCTCGGAAAAGGTAAAGTTATCTTAGATTCCCCATAGAACCAAGAAAATTAGGAATCTGAATTTCTTCAAAAATCATTCCTCAAGTCCAAGTAAATCAAATGTTTCAAATCAAGCAAGGAAGGATTTATATTACAAGACAACTTTGACCTCTCATGCATGAAAAGGTCTCCTATCTTATTAATTAATAATATTGTACTTTTTTTTTATACAGATTGGATATGAATTAGACTTATATTTTTGTCGTGGATATTATCAAAAGAGAATTTCAGATCCACTATTTCTTCTCAACATTGTGCATGAGTTATGTGTTATCGATTAAAAAAAATTAATTCAAGTGACCCTAAAATAAACACTTCCGACTCCAATGTAAAAGCCCCAGAGCCAAAAGACATTGGTAGGAAATTTCGTTGCAATAGTAGAATCTCTCAATTTGAACGCCGCCAAAATGTCCCAAATTGACATCCAAGCTCCTCTCTAATGATATCCATGTACAATATCTAACTGTTCTAGTCACTTATCTGTCAATTCAATTTTTCTCTTATTTATTACTTTTTCACTGTTGCATTACACTATGTGATGCTTATTTTATTAGGGTTTTGTCAAGTACTTAGATTATTTTCCTACAGAATAATTTTACTGAATCGGCGAATAAATTTCTCGGTATTATATTAGATTTTACCCATATTTTTATGCAAATTATCTACTGTTACCCGACTACGTAGAGTATTTATGAAGGCACTAATAATATACAGTCTATTTTTTTAGGTCACAAGATAATGTTCATTATAGTCTCGAGTTCCAACTTCCAACAACCTCATGATCCTGTCTATTTAACTTTAAATGAAGCTTCCAATCATAATCAGAAAAATGATACCTTTTTATTCATTACAATACGATTAAATTACATAAAGACAACAAAGCTCCAGACACAACATCTAGTTAGCAACATTTTCTTACAACACTGACAAATTTGTCACCAAGGCGATCTAAGAATTGACAACACATATACCTCCATCTTCTGTTCACAAGTAATGGACCTATTATGCTCCAAAAGCCAACCACACATCCAAGTGCCATGCCTACATAGAACCAACCCACTTCATGTTCATTACCATTTTTTCCTCCGCTATGGTCATAGGCTGGAGTTAAAATAGCACTAGTGCAATTCTTAGGAAGGGGAGATCCACAAAGATCATTGCCAACAAAACTAGAAGCATCAAAGCTTTGTAATTGAGTGCTCGTAGTATTTTTCCAGTCAAGTTGTTGTTAGACAAGTTCAAGTGACTCAAAAATGTCAACCCTGAAATGACTAGTGGAATTTCACCTATGAGTTGGTTTGCAGAGAAATCAAGAGATTCTAATGAGGTCATAACACTGATAGTTTCAGGAATTCTTCCACTTAATGAATTGTACGACAAATTCAATGATTGTAATGCTTTAAGATTTGTTACTTCATTCGGAATCACTCCTGAGAAGATGTTGCCAGAAAGGTCTATACTTCTCACCAAATAGAGAGTATTATTATATTCAATAGCTCTTCCTTTCGTCACAGGAACTGTGCCCTCAAGGTACCCTGCTGTAAAGAAGGACCAAACTCGTAGAAAATATGGTGCGCTTCATCATAGTCAATTGACACCATGGCACTGAGGTTCGTAATACAACTCGGAATCGTTCTAGAGAGATTTTTGAAAGCAAGGTCCAAGACATGTAGAGAAGTCAGATAGCAAAGTTCTGTTGGTAAATGACCATCAAACTTATTTGAACGAAGGCTAAGAATTTCCATGTTTGAAAGTCCTTGTCCTATCCATTTGGGTATATTTCCAACAAACCAGTTTTTAACAACATCTAATGCCACTAAACTGGTACAATTTTTAAGTGACGTTGGAAGTGTCCCAAAGAGGTTGTTTTTCCGAAGGTGCAATGACCGAAGCGAACTTAATGATCCAATAGAAGATGGAAGGTTACCAGTAAATTTATTGTTATCTAAATTCAAGATTTCCAATTCTTGCCAATTCATCCAACAATCTGGTAATTCTCCGGATAAAATATTATCTTCAAGTTTGAGAAACGTCATTGTAGATGTAAAAATTTACCTGTACGGAAGGGGGGTCTGATCCCGTGAGGTTGAGGCCACTAGCGATCCGCTGCACCTGCACACGTAAAGAAACAAACGCGTGAAGCGAACGGGAAACACCAGGTGGTGTTTGCTGTAGGCACTCCGACGCTCAAGTCAGCAAGGCTGAAAGAGTCTAGTATAGTGAGGGCTAGGGAGTAGAGAGGTTACCGGAAGTCTAGTCGGAGACTGTGACTACGACAGTGATGTGAAGCTCTCAAGTAGGAGCTTCAGGTGTGAAGGTGTAATGTAATGTGTCCCTTGTGAGAGGGCTGGCCTCTGTTTATATAGTGACTGTCTGGTCTCCCAATCCTGGTGGGAGTAGGAGTCCTAGTGTGACTCTGATGCAAACCCTAGAAGAATTAGGGCCATGGTAAGTTGTCTTACCAGTGTCCGGATAGGAAGGTGATCCTGATTAGGAAAGTAACTTCGAGTAGGAAAGTGTTTCTGAACAGGAAGGTGACCTCGAATAGGAGATTGTTCAGGAATAGGAAAATATTCTGAGGGGGCCATGGGCTCTGGACTCGTCCATGGACCTAGAGAATGGACTGGGATTAGGAGGCTTGTGCCCATGTGGTTTGGGCCGGCTGTATCTTGTATCAAATGGGCCTAATCCGGATTGGGTTGCATCGGGATTGGGCTTGGCTTCTCTTTCACTATCAAGCCCGTTTTTCTATTTGGGCCAAAGACGATTTTTGGCCCTAACAGTTTGCCCCCCACTCTCTGAGTTAAGAGTTTTTGAAGTCAGAAAGTAGGAAGCGATCGAGGGGCACTCGATCTTCCTTCCTGGACGACCAGTTGTTGGTGTAGCTGATCCGATCGTTGTAGGTGATCCTTGGTTGGGGTCATTCGGCATCCGTTACTGAACCGGAGTATAACATCATTTGAGTGGTGTGCCTGATCAGTGTGAAGGGCTGAAGGGATAGACAACGAGGTTTCAGGGGCTCACGAACTCATTCGGTACGTCCTGTCGACTGAGAGATGAGGTGTCTGTTGCCATGGTGTCCGTTTGGCAGGCTAGGCTGAATGAATAAGGACATTAAACTGAATGTGTTCGCTCGGTCAGGGTGATCGGGTGATCGAATGGAAATGTGCAAGTCTTCACCATTGGCTGTCTGTTCGTTCGCTCTGGAAGGATGAACGGGCGAGGCCTCTACCTTTTTTACCTACAGAGAGCTCAAGTCAGGTCGTTCCAAGCTGGTCGACTGGTCGGGAGGCTCGCACCGACTTGTGAATCATAGGGCCTATTAGGTCCATTCTGGTAGTCGCGTGCTGGCTCGGTCGGGAAGGCAGGACGATAGAGAGTGGCTTCCGTTACAGTTTCCAAGGTTGCCTGGATCCCTGCCACGTGTACGGTGGTGATCCACTTCTTGTTTTCGAGGCGGGAAAACAAAAAAGACGTGCAGACTCCCGTCCAATCGCAGGCTACCACGTGTCTCTGTTTGTCAGACTTTCCTTTTAAAAACGAATGGGCAGACTGTTCGTCTCCCATTCGCATTTTTCATCTTTTTTCCTGCAAAAATCTTGCTTTTCTTTTCCTTTCGCCTTTGTTCTAGTTTTTCTTCAGCGGTAGCAGTTCTTCTCGGCAGGCTTCGGTTTTTCTTCACGGTAAACATCTTTTTACGCTGTTTGTTCATTTCTTTTGTTTTTGTGTGTGGTAGTTTTGTTGAGTTTTTGGAGAATAGGGTGGAGTTTGTGTAATTTCAATTATTTTTTGAGGCGTTTAGAAGTGTTAGTGTTTTGGTTTTCTAGAATAGGCTTGGATTTTTGGTTTTCGGTGAGTTTTCGGCGTTTTTCTCTGATTTTCTGGTGTTTTCTGGAAAAAGGGAAGACGAAGTCAAGTTAGGTACAATTTGGTTTGGTCGGTCTGCCTGACCGAATAGTGTGATAGCTTGGGGAGTTGTGGGGGAGATAGGTCGTCTGGTCCATCTGACCGAGTGGTGAGAGAGCGTGCATAGTGGAGTGAAGAGGTGGTCAGTGGTCCAAACCGAGTGGGTGATTTTGAGTTGGTGAATCGGTGCGCAATGGCGAATAGGCTTAGTGTTGAATTTGAAGTCGAGTCGGTCACTTGGGGCGAGCGAAGGAAGACTTGAATCTAGGACCAGGTCGGTCGGTCGGCAGGGAGGGTCGACCAGGGTTTAGTAGTGAACTTGTTCCGTGTAGGTCGACTGGTATTGAGGGGCAAGTAATAACTATGTTTGTGGGCTTGTTCGGTCGGTAGCTCAGGCCGAGTGGTCGCTTGACACTTAGAATTTTTGAGAGTCAAGAGAATTTTTGAGTCGGTCCGTCGGGTTGGGCGATCAAACCAACATGTCATATTCTGAATCAGCTAGTTTGAGCGAGATTGTGGCAAACCCAGGGGATGAGTACGAGCGTGCCCCTACCATGGTGATGATGCCTAAGGGGGGTGTTCCGATGGGAGTACCAACTGGAGTTAGTGTAGCTACCCCAAGGATGAGTGAGGTTAGCCCGAGTGCTCGGGCAGGCATGGGAGAAGTGGGTAAGACTCCGAAGGGGCCAGTAGTCTATCCTTGTTCAGTAGTAGCTCTAAGGAAGAGCCGAGCAAACAGGGCAGCGGGATTTTGACCAGAGATTATCTGCCCGTGTTGAAGGATAGTGATGTGTGGCGCATTCGGACCTTGTATCACATTCCAAATTCGGTTGATATCCAGATGCCGCGGTCATACAAGCAGGTTGATTGGGAGGCACAAGGTTGGATTAGTGTTTACGAGAAGTGGTTTCATGATGGGTTGAGGCTACCCGTCCCTCGCCTCGTTTGGGAGGTGTTGAACCATTTCATGATTGCCCCATCTCAACTTATGCTGAATGCTTAGAGATTGCTGATGGCTTTGGAGGACCTCTATGTTCGGAACAAAGTGAGGTTCGGGTTGCACGAGCTGCTGTATTCGTACTTCTTGAAGGAGAATGATAAGGAGAAGGGTCGGTATCTATCGAACTTGAGGCATGATCAGTTTCACCTGGTGACCGACCTATGGTCCAGTGATAAGAACTAGAAAGATCGATACTTCTTCCTGAGGGGTCAGGCTGTTTTTGGAGAGAGAGGTCAGGGCGAGATCCCAATCGGCTGGCGAGCTACTAGTGAGAACTTAGTTGTTTTTTTTGTACTTTTGATTACTAAATCTTGATTGTGTTTTTTGTTTGCAGAGCTTGAGTTCAATTGGGTTGGGCAGAGCGGAGACGGCTTGGACGTTACGACCCAGAAAGTGTTAGCCATCCCGTCAGAGCAGAGGGATTGGCGAGTAGTGCTAGAAGAGTCCAGCCTGAGGACCAACATTCTTTGGGCTGGAGTAGAGGCGATCTAGAGAGGTACTCTTTTCCCCTTGCTGAAGTAGACTTGGGATGTACTTCTGAGTCAATACTGCAATCATATCATTTTTGGTGAGTCCGGGCTGAACCCACTAACCGTTGGAGAGTTTGCACTTGCAGAATCACTGATGAAGAAGTTGACCATCCCGAGTGCGAGCGAATCCATCGCCTGGCATCGAGAGAAAAGGAGGAGGGACTCCTTGGCCAGGGAGGACAAGAGAGCAGAGGATTTGTTAGCGACGCCGTCAAGTCAGCAGCCTACAGTTAGAGCTGGGTCATCCCAGATCGTAGTCATGGATGAGGAGGCCAGGATGATTACATTCACGATTCTGGCTATTGCTTCAACTTACTCTCATGCGACTACCATGAGTAAGCTGGCCAACTCTTTTTTGTTCCTGGCGGATGAGGCACGTCTGAATCAGATGGGTGCAGTTGCTACGGCTGATTGGCGGGTAGCCCGCGCCGTTCAGGTATGGCAGTAGTATTCGATGATTTTGTTCCTGAATTTCATTCTGATGACAATGTTTTGTTATGCAGGTACTCATTAGCAGTCTTCATCTGAGGAAGTCTATCGTGGCGTAGGAGAAACGGATATAGGATGTATCCAAGGCCAACACCAACTTGCGCCAAAGAGAGGCAGTAACCCGGAAGGCCGAGCAAGAGTTTCAGCAGCGTCTGAGGGATAGCGAGCGTGAGTTGGAGCAGTTGAGGCGTGAGTTGGCCGAGAAAACCGTAGAGATCGAGTCTCTTAGGGAGCAGCGTATTTCCATTGCTGATGACGCTATCATCAAGGCCTATGGTGAACTCATGCTTGAGTTCAATGAAGGGAAGACCTTTCACTGGGATCCGAACGAAGACATCCAGCTTATGCAGGAGTTTCTAGAAGAGGGAGACGGTCATCCGGGGGGAGGGGGAAAAGACGAGGAATAGATGCCTGACCTTGCTAGTCAGCCAGGGCCGTCAGATGCTGGGGATGCGAGTGACCGGGCTGTTAGGACGGGTGCTGGCGGTGCGAACATGATGATCGAGTCGGAGATGGAGGAGGCGACTCGTACTGAGGATACTTAGCTTAGTTTTTCCTTGTATTTTGGGGCCTACGATGCCTTTTTTCTTGGCGTGTGCCGTTTTTTCTGTATTCTGAACTGAGCCATTTGAGGCTATCTATATTATACTCGGTTGTTCTAACTTCTGATGCTTTCTTCATGGATGAGTGAGTTGTCCATTGTTTCTTTACTTATAGATGCACCAAGTTGTGTTTGCTACTTTAGTGTGGCCCAGTGGCTAAGGCATGTAGGCCTTATGTTAGGCTAGGTTGGTGCTTTGCTTATTGCTGGTGTAAGAACCATTCACTCGATCTGGTCGACCGAGTACGAAGTCTCTTGGATTGGATGAAGTCAATCTGGAGGTGTGAATTCTTGGGTCGAACAGGTCCGACTCGAAGGTGTGAATCGTAGATCGGGCTGAGCCGATTTGATGGTGTCACTTCGTGGATCGGGTAGGGCCGATCGAAGATGATTCCGTGAACCGAGTGGGGTCAATTCGAAGGTGTTTTTGTGAACTGAGCGGGGTTGATTCGAAGGTGTTTTAGTGGATCGAGTGGGGTCGATTCGAAAGTGTTTTCGTGAATCGAACGA